TTTTGCGCCTAACATCCGAATCTGTTCTTGTTACGGAATAGTGGTTCTTCGTCACTCGACTTTTTCTCGCAAGGAAATGCAGCGTTTTTCCTTAGTTTTATTTTCAACTAAAGTAGTCTCCGGGCTGTTGAGAATGCCCAGAAATCAATCTACATTTCTCCCTTTTTCAATTCCCTCTTTTTAATTTTTGATTTTTACTTTTCTTTCTTTTCATCTTTTTTTGTTTCTGCTTTTTATATTTTCTTCATTTCCGGCAAATTTTATTTGCCTCAGGGTGGCTGTTGAATATTAACTGACTCTAAAATGAGCTATTTCTTTCCACTGTTCAACTCATGCCCCAAGTTTAAAAGGCAGCTATGGGCCAAATATACAATGGCTCAAAAGCAAGCTACCCACTGAAAACCCCTGTCTTACATCACAACCTAATAACGGATGACTTCGACGCTCTCAAATTCAGAGCCGCTTCATCACTCCAACTACAACGGGTGTTCAGGTATCAAGAAGCCGCATCTTTAAGTGCACATCTCATCACATCCCCCTATAACCAGGAGGGCCACCACCTCGACCTTCGCACTCTGGACCCATCTGATCAACTTCTCGCAAAGGCACTGACGACTTTCAAACCAAATCGATCTGACTACGCAACGGCAGGGTATTTGGAATCGTTCAACTGGCAATTCGTGATAGATATCCTAAAGGACTTGGCTGCGGCCGAAAGCTATGAATGGAAGGAACGGTCATATTACGTCGTGACGTTCCGATCTACTCTCCTTGCAACGGCAGATCTCGATAGGCTCCATGAGCTCGATGTGCACTCTCATCTGGAAGCCACTACTAGTGGCGGTTTGCTTAAGTATTGGTTTGGGACAAGGGATGAGAAATTGAGAAATCTGGCGACTTGTAAGTGGGAGCATAGCTTTCATTTGGGGTTTTATATGATGGTGCTAAGGAGATAATTCTATTTAATTCCATTTAATTCCATTTAATTCTCTCTTCCGTTCACCTGACTTGAAGATAACTCATTAATACGTACCAGGCATATGGAGAAACAAAGAGGACGCGAGGCGGGGCGGATCAGGCCCCTGGCACAAACAGGCCATTGCAGCAGCACGACAAATGTACGAAAAGATTGAATTCACGGCTTTGAAATTGACCATTGCTGATGGAGCAGAGGTGTGGGATATTGTTGGTTGGGTGAATGAGCAGTAGGTGGGCGGTTCGACAGGGTGTCCTGAATTTTCATATAACTAAACTATCTATTCCATTGCGACTTGTTAGTATTCTTTTATCGAAGTATAAGATTTGCTGTTCGGGCGAAGATATGGGTAGATAGTCGAGCAGGCTCTAAAATCATGGACAATATAGACATGGACCTTTTACCTTTCTTAATTTGCAGCCCAATCGTCCTGGTTTCCCTAAGCATGGCCGGAGTATATGACAGAATAACCTCCGAACATTCCCGTCCAGGGTGCCTATCTTGTTGAGATAGCAATCTTGACTTGCATATTAGTCAAGCGGCTTTGAAACTCGAAATGGAGTCCGAATCTGCGAGGCATATTTCCAAAGTTCTAGAAGGCTCTCAGTGTTCAATGGTGACATAAGTAGGCGCATTGACAAAGCTGGTGTTCTTAGGAGTGGGGATTCAGTAATAATATGTCTAAATCGAATTCCTCTCCATGCATCCCAATTGCGAAGATCAAGTAGGTAGTAAAATTTAATAATTCATGATCTCCATCGTTTGTCTTCGGTCCTGCTTATCGATTTGTAGAGGAGGGTCAGAAGTGCTACCCGTGTGAGAGAATCATTATAAGTTGAAGCTGTGACATTGCCAGTGGTCTCCATGTAATTTGTTAGGAGACAAATACTCATGTAAGGAGGGCAAGAAAATTGGCGTATTCGTCCCATGGAAATATCTGAGTGAAGTGGAGGTGAGATGCTCGAGGCCAACCAAGCTGTGGTGACGAGTTAATAGGAGTTCAGTCCTTTTGCAAATTCCGAATAATAACTATCAGATCTGACAGCTCTGACAGATCTGACGGTCCCCACCCACACCTTGCAACCAATTAGGATCTTGTTCAAAGGCAACTTGTCCCCACAGTTGGAGGAAAGTCATTCTCGGCAACGTGAGGCTGAAAACAGCTAACAAAGTCATGTCATCGCTAATGGCATAACGAGCAAACTCTTTCATAAAGGGTAATAATAAGAAGTTTGATCAGGACTCTGATCCAGGCTGGTGGCAGAAAGTTAGAAAATCCAGTCAGACGTCGGCCAAACAGTGGAAGAGGACCCAGTTGGTTTAGATTGAGGGCTCAATTAAGCCCAAATGAAGGAAAGTTTGTGGTCGGTTTAATTGGTTTCGTTTAGCTGATTACAACCGGGTGGCCGGTTATGCCTTGGGGGCTGTGTCACCCAAACGGCGCCAAAACGAGATGCTTGAGGTGACCTGAAGAGGGCAGCAACTCCGTATAACTACCACCGTAAAACTGAACTCCAGCCTGCCCGCATTGCAAAGCCTGAAATATGGATGGACATTGGATATACATGTCACCGCTGGCTCTGGCACCTTAAACGTTTCCCCATTTTTGGCGGAGGAGGCAGCATCGGAATGCGGATGCCTAGATCGGGACATGATTGCATCGAGGAGCTTGTTCTCTCAGAAACGGGAGCTATTGTTAAGCTAATCCTCTTTCTCCTTGTTGCTGGTAGTTAATAATGCCGTTGTGGAGACGATGTTCTTACTCTCTACCTCCTGTGGCTCACACAGCCCCTAGGCTGAATCAGGTCTCGATGTGGGGAGTTAAAAGGCGGGGCTTATTTGTGAGCCTTCTCATACCCGACATATCAGCGTGTTGATTCAGGTTACCTGACAAGATCAGGCTGCTGTCTGATAGTTTTTGAGGCTATTTATCTTCTGCTGATATCTCCTCTCACCAACCATTCTGCTTGATCCTGGAACCCCCCAAAAAATATTTATCCACGCTTTGGCTGCCCCGAAGAAGAATAAACTACTTGCCTGCTTTTCATTCGGAACACCCTTGTCAACATCAGAAAGCTGTACAACCGTTGTAGGATCATGAATCCTGCTCAGCCAGTTCTCTCCGCTGACGATGATTTCGAGATCATTGATAGCCAAATCCCAATACGTCCACGTCTTAGTACCAGCACTACTATCGCGGAAGCACAAAACCCAGATGAAGTTGGAGTCCAGTTGCATCCTCTCTCGGATAAGAACTCCTTGATACTTTCTATCCATCCTCCGCTCCACCCTGAGAAAGATATCCGTCATGTTCCATGTGACATTGTCCTTTGCATTGACGTATCCGGGAGCATGCAACTGAGCGCTCCTCTCCCTACAACTGATGAATCTGGTAAACGTGAAGAAACCGGGTTGAGCGTTTTGGACTTGACCAAGCATGCTGCCAGGACTATAATTGAAACCCTGAACGAAAATGACCGCCTAGGCGTTGTGACTTTTTCAAATGATGCTGAGGTACTTTCCATGGGATCACTAGTTTTTGGATTGATATTTCATAAAGGCTGCTAATGATTTGCTGTAGGTCGCGTATAAGATATCACATATGGATGATACTAACAAGAAAGCAGCTCTGGAAGCAGTGGAAGCATTACAGCCATTGGCTTCGACTAACCTGTGGCATGGGCTGAAATTGGGCCTCAGTGTGCTTGGAAAAGTGGATCTTCGACCCCAGAATGTCCAAGCGCTTTATGTTCTAACTGATGGTACATACATACAAAGCCTGTTTTCCTTAGTATGCCTCATGCTAATAGGAGAATGTTAAGGACAACCGAACCACATGTGCCCGAGACAAGGGTATGTGCCGAAATTACGTCCCATTCTGGAGCGGCAAAAGGATCGCTTGCCATTGATACATACATTCGGATTTGGCTACGACATTCGATCAGGCTTGTTGCAGTCAATTGCGGAAGTCGGAGGTGGAACTTACTCATTCATTCCTGACGCGGGAATGATCGGTACGGTTCCAGCACATATCTTTTTTTTTTTTTTTTGGTGCATCATCTAATCAGGGATTAGGTACTGTCTTTGTTCATGCTATTGCGAATCTGTACACGACTTTTGCTACCCAAGCAAGGGTTCTGCTGCGCACTTCAGGTTCAGCAGAACTGGTGCAGGATGAAGGTAGCAAAACGGGCCTTCTGCTAGACGAGATGTCGGCAAAGGACGGTGATATAATAGTAACTGTTGGAAATTTACAATATGGCCAGTCGCGTGATCTAGTTCTTCGGATCAAGAACGTAACAGGGAATGCATCTGCGGCACAGGCCACGTTGACGTATAACTTCCAAGGCTCCGTCAAATCGGTCATATCCAACGAGCAGCTGCTCTCTCAATACAAGTCTCTTCCCGCCCATGTTTCCAGTTACCATTTGTCTCGTGCTCGTATCTGCACATTTTTAAGGAGCATCTACCCTCTCCGACAAGATTACGAGTATATGTATCTTGATGCGAACGGCCTTGAAAAGGCGAGAGCAGAGTTGGACATTGTTATCAAGGAGACTAAAAAACTTGGATATACTGACATAGCGAACGCAAGTCTTGTAAGAGATCTTGCAGGGGAGGATCCGGAAGGTCAGATTAGCCTTGCCATCTCCGAGAGAAGCCACTATGAGAAATGGGGCAAGCATTATTGTGAGTGTTTATTTTGTTTTCTACCAGCAACTATTACACGTTATTAAGTTGTACGTTTACCACAGTGCTGTCCCTTCTCAATGCCCATACTCGTCAAATATGCAACAGTTTCAAAGATCCGGGGCCTCTCGAATACGGAAAGGACTCTCCATTTTTCTGTCGTTGCCGCCAGGAGCTAGATGAATTTTTTGATAATCTTCCTGCACCAAAGCCGTCAATCGTCAGGAGGAGAGCCGATGGCACAGTCAAAGCTTATCCGGTTTATTCGATGTCGCGGTATAATACCAGGAATAATCCGTGTTTTGCCGGGCATTGCCGGATCCGCCTTCCTGAGGCGAATAGTAGTCTACCTATTCGGAATCTTCGTCCAGGAACTAAAGTCTGGACTCCAGTTGGTCCTCGCCGTGTTAAGACTGTTGTAGCCACAACTGTCAAGAACATGACCCTTTGCAAAATCGGCTCTTTGCTCATTACACCCTGGCATCCAATTCAAGTAGAAAGGGGTTGGGTCTTTCCATCAAACGTGTCGAATCACAATACCCCTTTCACAGGAACAGTCTATTCTGTGCTTCTTGACCCTAGTCCAAATTCAGATGCCCATGCAATCATGGTTGGGAACCATGTCTGCGTCTCCCTTGGCCATGGTGTCCTGTCTGGAAGCGATGTCCGTGCACATGCTTTCTTTGGCAGTTACTCAAACGTTGTCCGAAGCCTCGCATCGCTTTCCCGAGACACTAATGGACGTTTAAGATGTTCTGGGATGAAAAGAAATTCATTAACAGGGTTGGCTTGTGGATTTATTGGTCAGAGAGGACTTGTAACGGCTGCGAGAAAAGGTGACTCCAAGAATATGCTTAAAAGAATGCTTCGTCATCGCGTTCACGCCTCGTCTGCGATTTCCGGTCAACGATCTGCCCTTATAGTAGCTTTTTAAGTATGAAAGATATGAAGAATGGTAATTTCTGTCCTGTGGATGTGGGATAGGTGGGGATGATGGATTGTGATACGTCTCAACTTTGTTTTACTACACGTTTGTGAAAATGTCGAGCGTGAACTTTGAGGGTCGATGGAGTCGGAAGCATAATGACGTGTGTTTTCCCTATCTCCCTATACTGTCACTATCATTGCCCCAACAATAGCAAAGTTAGCTAGCTAGGACCAGAGCTAATTGGTCAAATACCATTACTCTCCGTAGCTATGTCTGGAACAGCTCTTCAACCAATGTTCAGGGCCTCCAAGCTCTCTCTCTTGAATCTAATCTCTCCATGCATCCCTAGGTAAACAAATTCCGACGAAGGAGAGCGCATCTCTCACTAGTTCCTATGCATCCGGTCCGTCGTTGGTATGCTCCTAGGAGCCTAACATATCAACCGGAAAAAAAAAAAATCAATTAGCCGTATGAAAAGAGCTGTAATTGATGTCCCGCAATCGGTTCCTCCACCTTTTTTCAACCAACCAATATGTTCCAAATTAAACAGGGTAGGTATGCAACGATGATAACTGCTTTATTGTGCACACGATCGCCGATTTCCCTTTCGGAGAACAGGGCAGCTTGGTTTTGCAAAAGGGTGCTTTTCCTCCATTTATTTTTCAGATTGGATCGAGTTCCGCCTTGGAACTCAACAACATCGAGATACATGACGTCATCTAGAAAGGGGAAGCATCAGGATCATGTGATGCGCATGCTAAGCCCTTATTTCACAGTTATTCCATCTGAGAACCAATGTCTACCACTGACAATTGACACCTGAGCCAGGTTAAGAAACTCTTTTACTGAACCAGCTCGAGAGCTAGCCATGGCGAGGAGGATGGGAACATACATCGCAACGTGGTTAAAATTTTCTCTAATCAAACGTTCTAAATATGTAACAAGATGGGGGTGAACAAAGACAAATAAATTATGAAGTCCTGTCCGTAGCAGGTGCCGGTTTGGCTATGCATTTGTGAAACAGGCAACAAATACAAATGGAAAAGGGAGCAGTGGAGATTGGGTGACGATGCCTCTTCTCGACGATGCCTCAATTTCCAAAGGTTATGCGAAAATACAAATGCAATGCAACATATCGAGAATGTCCAAGGTTATCTCCTAACAATCACCCCCAGCAGATTTTAAACAGAATATCGCTTGTTCACCCAGCAGCGAATGGTGGAGCCTTTCAAATTGATAACTGGGACTTTGTCTCCAGGACCATCGACATTATCGAATGTTTTCCTGTCATCGATTTCCATGATTGTTTTCTTCGTTTTTCCGTCTTCGATTCTGCAATGAGCGCCCGCGATAATTCTGGTCATTTGCATACTTGTGGCCCTAACGGTGCCGTCATAGAAGACGGGTTTTTTTTGGAAGAGGTCGATAACATTTTTCGGTTTGTTATCAAGTCTGATTCGAACGGAACCCCAGGCACCGGTTCTGTCGTTTATCAGCTGAACCGTAACATGGTCACCACTGCGACCAGATCCAGCGGGGAGCGCGGATATGAACGTGGTAAGGATGCTGAGGATAATGACAAATGAGATATGCATTTTGAAGATCTGAGGTGGGTGCAAAAAATTTTTTTTTCTGAGTGGATATAAGTAAACTTTGTATCGAAATTGAGGTGGAAATGTAGGAGATTTTGATATTTTTTTTCGATTTTGCGATTGTGATATAGGGTATTTTTCTAATTGTCAAGCAGGACGGATGTTTTGCTTTATACGTTTCTCTCGACAACTCTATGGTATCCGTGGCTCTCTATGGCGCAAACCGACGGCTATGTTTATGTTCTAGTTCTCCGATCATTAACTCTTTAATTGGTTTTTGATCTTCCAATTCAGTCAGTCATGTACAGCCCCTATATCTAGGTGCCAGAGGCAGTGCTGTCAACAACGGAGATATGCTGAACTGAGCTGTTTCAAGCCACCCCTGATCCCGGATCAATTAATTTTGGGGAATTATATATCAGGCCGTTGTTACAATCACTGGCAATGGATTGGGTAGAGGATCTCCCGAAGTTCCTTTCATGACTATTTTCATAATCGATAATTGAATCAAATCTTATGGCTGTGCAGCAGTTCGGAATCATCTCTTAAAGGTCTGGGATAAGTAGTATGCATGGAGTTCAAAAAGAATAAAAATAACATTTAAGTCAAAAGCATACCCACTTTCTATACCCAGAGAGAATGTCACGATCGATGAACCAAAGGTCAGCTGAACTTTTAGCATTTCTGATCTGTTCTCAAAGCCCGTTTTGTATAACAGATATTAGAAACAGAAAGGCGAACTCTCGGTATCCTTAAGGCTCCTGACGATGCACACACGAAAGCTACAATCTACTAAACTTTTGAAAGCCTTACCTACGTGCATTACCCACTTATCCATGTAGTTATTTTTTAACATGCAGTCAATATACATTTCTGTTCTGGTGGCTTTATCAGACGTTCCTAAGATTCCATAATTCCTTGGGTTTTCCGTTTTGAATTGTTTGATGCATGTATTACACAATCTATGTAAGCACATTTACCGTACATTTTTATCTAACAGAAAGTTGAGTTATCTTCAAGGTATATGCACATATACATGTGTGTCAGGAGCTGATGGTGAGCAGAGGTCTTCTTTTCGTTTCTTTTCTTGAATCGAGAAAGATACCGGTCATTTCTTTGCTTTATCTGACTAATATTTGTGAGTCAAGGACAGCTGACGGAGTGCGGGTTCAAAAAGTACCTCTTATGTGCTTCCTGTTTTCTAGTAGGTTCAGTGTTTATTTTTAAATGTCCGACATCGAGTCCGAAATCGATATTGGGCGTCTGAGAGCGATACGGCTGCAAGGATCCTGAGGTGGATCCCTCCTCCGACCTTGTGCATTTGGCTGATGACGCCCAAAAGCAACTACCCGGTTGCCCTGTGGATTATAAATCTTTCTGGCAAGGAGATAAGTCCATTCGATGCTCAAACAATCATGCCCCGTGTAGGTGTGCACACAATTTAAAAGACCAATTTGAATGTTGATATTGACCAAGTTTGGAAGGCTATTAATTTAGACACTTGAATCCCCAGATGGAGCAATTGAGAACCCAAGGATCGATCATGTTACCAAGGAACGACGAACGCTGCCGGTGTCCCTGATGGAATTTAGTGTTGATAGGCCATGACATAGTTAGCTTTTTCGCCTCAGCCTTGTCTTTCTCCAGCCGAATATGCTGTAGTAAGCTTGCAAGTGGAGCATCAGAAATAACTAATAGTGTACGCAGCTTTTACGGACGGATTTGCTGCAGATTGAGTTCTACTATTTTTAACTTAGTTGTATACACAGTCCAATGAATAACTACATAACTATATTATGCCAATTAATAATTGTATGTATCTTGGCGGATTAGTTATGGGGATATGTTGGGTTCCTACTATTCACACCCGAGCATTACGTATCTCTTACAGCGGTTTGGTTGAAGAGGATATTCGGCTGCGTCTGGTTAATCATGCTCTATCCTCACATGGTCATGTTATGAGAAATTCGTTAGGTATATAAAAAAGGCCTTGTGGATGCCCGCTTCAAGAGAAATCGCGCATTGCCAGTTCATTCCATGCTGGCTATTTAAGGCTGAACAAACACGGTAAATATTTTTGCTAGCAGGAGAGCCTCGTGCCGGCCCATGTCTATTACTTGTACTTCAATGCAGAGGAGATTCCAAATAAAATAAATATAAATATAAAGTAAAAAGTAAACAGAGAGGGGCGGGAGGATAACAAGAGCACTAAAAAGCGACCCAGAACCCGAATACCAAACCGCTGCCACGGAATTAATTAATTGAGCCAATTTGCTTAACGGAGGGTGTACCAAACTGCTGGAAGATTGTGGCTTCGAATTGACCCGAAAGCGAAAGCGACTGGGCATCGCAAGAGTCATAGAGTTGAGTTGCATAGACTCCACATGTTCCTCGTTCGGGGTCAATCCACTAAGAAAAGACAAAAAGTTTGAATATTAGCATTCTCAATCGCGATTTAATGGATAAATTCTTAATTCTTCTTTTATCCCTTTCTCTTTTGGAAACCTTCATTGGATTCATAAAACTTACCCAGGCGAGATTGGGAAGTCCATACCAAGACGTCGATCCCCTGGAGCGCCTGTTTGGTGTTTCTTCCATCGCCAAAACGCCGACAAGCGAATGGTTCCATGTTAGGTTCCCGGATAGCCCATTTGTAATGGCTGCCTCTTTCCCGGACGAGTGTAAGAACTTGAGGAGATGCGAGCTGGTGGAGAGTTGGGGTTCGAAAATATTCGAACGCATCTTTGGCGATAGGAGTTTGCCATCATCTTTCAAAATAGAGACCAGAGGTTTGATGAATTCTGCCGCCGTGGACCAGATGCCGTGACCCCCAAAGTCATCGGCCGGATGGAGGGTTGCCCATATGTCTACTGGTGTAGTGATAAGTTCTCCTGTGGTTGTGCGGGTGGTTGCTTTGGCCCGGTTCTCTAGAATATAGTTGTTCTGCGAAGGTCTGAATGTAGTGTGTTGCATTCCAAGGGGTTCGCAGATATGTGTTTTCAAGTATTCTTCTAGTTTAATACCTTCGTTTAGACGCTCGACGGCTTTACCAGCCCAGTCAAGCCCTACACCATAAATCCAACCCTCTCCGGGTTCAAATAGTAAAGGGAACAATAATTTATCCTACGTAGGTTAGTTTGCCAAGTCCATATTGAATGGATAGCGTAGGCCGAAAAGGGTGCTAGGATTGAACTCACAACCTCGACCAACCCGGAGACTGGACTCGTTTTCGTGAATTTTCTCCACCGAATCAAGCTCGGAGTCCACATGTCATATCCAAGCCCAGAGGTATGGGTAAGCAAATGACGGTAAGTTATCTTGTTCTTTGCTTTCTTTAACAGCGGTTCTCCTGTAGCTTCGTCAAAGCCATGCACAATGTCTAGGTCTGATAGCTCCGGAAGTATACGTCCGACATGTTCATCTAAACCGATGAGGCCCTTCTCAACGCACTGCAGCAGGGCAATTGAAGTGATTAACTTGGAGCATGATGCAATCCACAATGGGGTATCGACAGTAATCGGCCCTGCACTGTTAAAACCAAAGCCTTTAGAGTATACGACGTCACCTGTGCACCCGTCATAGTTATCAGTATTTCGAAGCTACATGTAGAGAGCATATGGAAGAACCTTACCTTTGCTATCAGCCGCAACCATCGCAACCCCAGGGAGGGCACGATTCGGGCCTTCTGCAGTCAAGGACTCCGCAATTTTGTCGAAAGCATCCATACTTACATTGGTATTTTAATCCTCTTTTGTTTATAAAAAGAACCTTTGAAATAATCAACTCTGGAGCCAGAAGACGAAGAAAAGTTTACTGAGGCAGAATGTTAATCTCTTAGGCTCCCGAAGTGGTTGATCTTATATGCACTTTGATCGCCAAAATCACCCCTCACCCTCACCACCTCCTGGCCCTCCAAATGAGGCCCACAAAAGACGGAGCCTTTCTGGGGCTGAGCGGCACGGCAGAGAAACAGGATCCTACTCCCTACCGTCCAGTACATTAATAATCAGACTTCCATTGCTGAAGTATAAGCGGGGGTCTCCAAGAAAAAGCATCCTCATGTGTCCCGGATATCGTGAAGATGCTCCTCCTGTCCAGAAGCGGTGGGTTTAGGTATCTGATTCCAGACCGGTGAGCACATCTCTAACTTCAACGATCGCTCAACAAGTCTTCCTGGATGTAAATCGAAAGGCGGCAAGCAAGCAAGCTCGGTGCTTACCGCTTTGACCTGACATTCTCCACTTGTTTGAGGCAGTCATGGAGGGGTCCGCGTGACTATGTTATACGCAGCGTAACTAGTATATAGAGGTTGCTTACTGTCAGATCCATGGATCGTATCCATGGATTAGGCATATAGCATGACAGGGGTACGTCGTTACTCTTATAAATCAGCTGTATTCTTCATTTTGATAACTAATTAGTGACAATAGTTAGTTATCATACAATTGTGATTCCGTTTACAATCATATAGGGCCTAGACATCGTCCAGCTGATACTTACCTTTAACAGACCGTTGCTGACGTCCCCTTGTTGATGAGCGACGAACTTGTCCCTACAAACTCAGCCACTTTGTACCATCACAACTAATTTATTAGTATGAGAGGCTTGCCTCTAAGACAAACAAGACGAACACAAGGTCATGTACCGTTACTACATTAGTGTTACGGCCGAGTCTTCTCAAATTCAACTTGAGTTAGTTTTGGAAAACATTCTTCTCTGAAGGTACACAGAACGGGTTATTCCCTCCTCGACGTGATGAATCTGAAAGCTCGATATATGTATGCATATATTAACCTAATGCTTATAAATATGCAAAATATTAATTAAAACAAATAAGGATATGAAAACCTGGTGAGACGAGATACCGGGTACAACAAACCAACAGAAACTATCACAAACAGTTTTTCTACTCACCCTTTTTTTGAAAAATACCTCACGTCAGAAATACTCTGTGAAAATAATTATCGTTGCTCTTTTTTAGTAGGTTTCTAATCAAACCTTCTTGATAATATCCGGATGCTGCAGGAAGTTGCCAGCCAAAGTAGTGTACAACGCAGCCACCAACTTTTGCCATTCTCGTCGATCTCTCGTCTCATTATTCATATGTCACTGCCCCTCCAGACAAATCGCGAATCTTCATTTTTCCTTTCCGAGAAATGAGGGGTCCGCCGCAGAAAAATAACATAGGTATTGCTGAGGCGAAGCAGATCAAGCCAAGGGCTAAATTCATACCTGCCCACCCAACTGTGGTAATGACAAAACCTCCAATGATCGGTCCAAGGAGTTGTCCCGAAGCAAATGCCATATTGTAGAGGGCGTAGCCTTGACCCATCGCACTAGGGCCCGAATACAAGGCCGGGTCTTTCTCCTCCAACTGGTCGACGGCGCGGGATATTTCCGTCATCGTTATTACCTGGACGACTGTAATTGCGAGGCCAACAAGAACAAGTAAACCACCCAAAAGTATATGTTGTCTTGTTGTATTCTCATGTACTAGTCGAAGAAGGATAAGTGGACAACCTGCAAGAGTGAAACCAAGTGTGCCGAAGATGCGCGACCCCCAACGATCTACGCCCTTGCCTATAAAGACACCGAATAAGCATGGAAGCGAGAAGAATAAAAATAGGATACCAGCTCCGCTTGGAGTCCAGGCAAATTTATCCATCACGAATAGAGGAAGCGTCTGGAGGCGGAGATGGTATATTAGTCAAAAACAGAATCAATAATGTTACAGTGCGGACAAAAGAGGAAAGGAAATTCAAGAACATACTGTTTCGAATGCCGTCCAGACAATCGATTGAATGATAGTTGCAAACAAATTAACCTGAATTCTGGAATCCTTGAGCAGGTGGTATATTATCAGTGTTTGGGTTGAAGTTTGATTGAGGTTGGTAGATCTTTGGATGAGTGGTGATTCTTCGCTAATAGTATCCCCAGAATCAGAGACAAGAGACTGCGTCCGACTCGAATCCGTCGGGGTTGCGTTGTGGTATGACTGCGCAGAGTTCTCAGCTCTCAATCTTTCCCGCAGCAGCCTTCTCGCAACTAGGTTCGGTTAGCTATGCTTGACTTATACAGAGCAGATTCAGCAAACCTTTTTTTTCGATCATGAGAAACCGTAGAATGATGTCAACGCACAATAATGCTAACGGCACCGCGAATGCTGCGTAGTAGCCAGCCTTGGTAAACCTATCTCGGTATTTCAATTAACGTATAGTTCGCATCGGCGGAACGTATGTTCGCAGCAACAGAGATGATTGCCAATGATAAAACAAGGGCAAAACACATACATAACTCCTCCAATGATCGGGCCGAACAGCACTCCCCATGTCAACGCCAGAGAGATGTATCCCATTGCTTGTCCGAGTCTCTCGTTAGGAACTGTGTCGACGGCCAAGGCCATACCGACTACACCGACCGCACCACCGGAAAGCCCCTGCATGGCTCTCGCAAAGATGAACAAGCCCGGGGAACGACCGATGAGAAAGAATGAGGTGGCTAAGATCATGGCGGCCAATCCAATAACGAACGGTAGTCGTCGACTTTTGCTGCGATCAGCGAAGTAACCGAAAAGTGCTGATCAGGATGGAAAACATCGACGTGTTAGCATATTTGTAAGCTTGGAAGTTATCTCATGGAGGAATCGTCAATCACATCCAAGCCATTTTCACATACGAGATCCAATGAGAAATGCGGCACCGTATGTAGCTAGAAGAATCGAAACCCATTTCTGAACTGCAAGTTATTCTCTGTTAGCAAAGCTATCTTGGCTTTGTTCGTATCAGAGTATTGCAATAGAGGATATATATCCACCAACCTTCTTTCTGCGGCACACCTGCCCTGTCTTTAAGTGCCACAGGAACAATTGGGACAATCTGGAGTATCAAAGTCAAGGGAGTTCGTTGAAGGAAGGGGAAATCCTCGACTACTAACCACTCCATATACGAGAGTGTCCTATTCAATTTCGTTAGCCAGACGGTTTCTTGGTTGAGTTCAAATCCAATAAAATCGGTCAGAATTTTGGATTACCTACCGTGAACAAAGCTGCCGAGACAACAAGTAGAATAAACCCCTCTGAAGATCTAAAAGAAAGGCCCCAGGGCAATTTACTCCCACAAGCCATGTCTCCTTTAGAATTTCCAATGGGTTTCGAGGAGATCCAGCTTTGGATACGCGGGAAATGAAGAAGATACTTTCACACCAACGGTAGCATAAGACTTTAGCTTATTGACAAGAGTAAGTTTGAGAAATTGAGGTAATTTCAACCTCTCGTTGCTCAGGATAAGCACGGACAGAGGATTTTTGACGGAGAGGCATTAGTGGTGGTTCATGGAAGATTTGTGTTCAGAAAAAGGGACCGTTCACACCCCGCTCGCCTCTTGCTCTCTTCCGCGTAGCTGCATCGCGGTTGGCTACATATCTCAGACCTGAGCTTCAGCTGGCGTGGCTGCTCTCGCCGTGTGGATGGCTCATTATTATTGGAGCGTCGACCAAGACAATAACTGGATAGTGATGATCTTGTGTAAAACGAAAATATCCCGTGTGAGGTCGCCTCCCACTTTTATCAGCAGACTAGTAATTAAATCGAGTTAGCCTCTTCGCCTCTCAATGCAGTCAAAATACGTATTTTTATGCACATCGAACCTGCCATGCCCTCGTTATTTTAGATCCAGAGCGGGGTTGCGCGCAAAAGTACGAAAAATTTACCATGGTTCGCGTTCGTCGAAGTCGTCCTTTGTTCGACGGTCCCGATATGATTTTAACTCCAGGTGTGGACTGGAATTTTAAACTGGCCTGGAGCTAGCAAATGTATCGGCCAATAGCAAAGGCAAAAATCGCGCTGTCGGACAGTAAGCTGACAGAGATTGGATCATTGTGTGAGTGCTCAATTTTTGGACATTGATGCAGACTCTGAGACCAGAGATAATTACATCTTGTCCTCAAATTGCGAAGTTGAAAAAGCCAGGATCAAGTGATATGACAGCTGAACTGCAGATTTCTCAGATAACGAAGATATTGGTTATCTTCTTTCTCTGAAAGGAAAAAATGTTGAGTAGAAAGTGAAAACGAATTTTCAATCGTTAAGACTATCTTATAACATTCTAATTCCAATTTGATATGGCATTCCGACTAATGTAGAGACTTGGTATGACGGTATTAACGGCAACCTTGCCTATGTTGATGCCGTGGTTGGAAGATCAGAGAACAAAGCTCAGGCGGCCCGAGCAAGCTGCAGGTTTTAGAAATTACAAAATTGTCAGGACTTTTCCGGGAACTCATCACCATGCGTCGTATTGTTCCACAGCGTTAAATCCCAGAAATCCTGCCAAAAGGATAACAAAGGATAGCTAGTTACCGGGATCCCCGGCGTTGTTCATTTTTGCCAATCATCAACCGATTTTATCATCTCCGTTTGGCGAAGTGCCAGACCATTTCAGTTCTTGCTTGACATGGTCATTCATGCACGTCATTCTTGCACGAGCCTCTCATTGAGCAGCAGTCTTCACTTGGAACGTTTATTCTTCTTCGGCTCCTTGTATGATGGGGTGCTTGAAAGTTTGTAGAGTTGACTCTCGATTGGTTTTTGGACAGCAGTTTGTCCTGAGCTGGTAACTAATGGGTGAACAAGCGATTTTTATGCCACGCGAGGACGAAAACATCTGCAATTTAGGGAAGAGGTTTGATACCACCCAGTAGAACCCCATTTGTAAGTTGCGTGTCGAAAGATATTCACTACATGAAGGAATTCAGACCGAAGGCATGACATCAAGCTGTAACTAACGTCCACGCACCGTCCTGAATTCTCCTTGATGGTCATTTCTCACGGACAATACCAAAGCAACCAACTTGAACACCGAAACCGAAACAGCTCCAGGTCGATGCGGCACGTGATCTCCAGAAGCGAGATACCTCCCTTGCCTTAAGGTTTCAATGCGATGAGGATGAGGATTACATCATGTTTGGAGACCTTTCACTCGTGTGTTTAATGGCAGAGTTTCCTGTGAGGCGTCTTTATAGGTCGAAAGCAAATGAAGTTCGAAAGGTACCTTGGTTGAGCAACTTACGACTGCGAAGGGACCTTTTTAGATCGCTTTGGCCTGATGTGCCCAAGCAGATTACGGGATATGATGGCGCTATTCTCACCAGCAATATGCCCATGGCTTTGGAGGCCTCATAGTATTCCACTGCAAAAGGGTGTCCAACCCCCTGTGACCGTTGGATAGGTCGCAATCATGCGGGTCTCCATCTTTTATACAGATATGTGAGCATACGTTGTTTGGCATTGTTGCTGTCTGAACCTTGTTGTTGATAATGAAGCTGTTGCTGCAACCTTGTAACGTGTAATCATGAAAGAGCATCATAAAATGCAGGTGTATCTGCCCGATGAGTTAATGGTTCATAAGCTTCAAGGTTTAAGCTTGTCACCGGTACATAAGATGGACGCAAAAGTGAGAATATAACGTGTTGAAAAATCATTTTTAATTTTTTGAGGGGTATCTCATCCATTCACCTCCAGATATATTTCAATGCCACCCACGGCAGAGAATGCCTTCAGCAACAAAAAGTGATCTTATTTATGGACAGTTATAAATGGTATTGTTGAAAAATACCAATCGCCGCAAAAGAAACAGGCAAAACAAAAAGAGATGCAGAAAGAACTTAAATATTTACCCAAACAGAAGAAAAATTGGTGCCAGTTAAAATCAGTAATGAAAAACCCGAATTGACATCTATGTAATATTTCTGCCGTTGAAGGACAAAATGCTTTTGGTTGTTCCGGGCCCCAGATCTAAAGATGAATTAAAAATTGTTCCTCCGTTTTAAGTCATAACATCGTAGCCTCATGTTGAAAAGTCTATGTGTCATGCATCCGTACTCCAGCATTTGTGCAGTTGTATATGCACTGAAAAATAGAAGAGGAAAGGTTTAATACCGGTAACTGCGAGGGAAACTCGTTAGAAAGCGTTTTGGTGGCAAAAGAATAGAAAGATAAAATTTGGGCAGCTTACATCTCAGCCTTATAAGGGCCATTAATCTCGAGGCCCAGGTACTCAGCCTGCTTAGGGGTGAGTTTGGACAATTTGGCATTGACGTGGTCGAGATGCAAGAGAGCAACTTGTTCATCGAGGACCTTGGGGAGAACGTAGACACCAACATCCCGCTTGCCACTAGTAATACCGAACTCGACGTACTTGTTGCCGAAAGCCGCATCCTGAGACTTGTAGAGCAAGATTTGGGCAAGGACTTGGTTCGAGAAGGAGCAGGACATGACAAAAGAAGAATGGCCAGTGGCACAGCCAAGGTTGACCAGGCGACCCTCAGCAAGGAGAATGATGTGACGTCCGTTGGACATCAGGAAGCGGTCGACCTGAGGTTTGATGTTCTGGACGGACTTGGCGTTGGCCTTGAGCCACGCAACATCGATCTCGATATCGAAATGGCCAATATCTAGCTTCGAGTTAGAAAATTTTTATACATACTGTATCCAGACAAGGGACACTTACTGCAAACAATGGCGTCATCCTTCATGACGGAGAAGTGTTCGCCAGTGAGGATATCGCGGCAACCGGTGCTGGTAACAAAGATTTGGCCGATAGGGGCAGCCTCCTCCATAGTGGTGACCTGGTAGCCAGAAATAGCTGCCTGAAGGGCATTGATGGGGTCGATCTCGGTCACGATGACACGGGCACCCATGCTGTGCAGGGCCTGGGCACACCCCTTTCCAACATCACCAAAGCCAGCGACAACGGCAACCTTGCCAGCAATCATGACATCGGTGGCACGCTTGATGCCATCGACAAGAGATTCTCTGCACCCATAAAGGTTGTCGAACTTGGATTTAGTGACAGAGTCGTTGACATTGACAGCAGGAACAAGAAGCTCATTGTTCTTCAGCATCCGATACAGGTGGTGGACGCCGGTAGTGGTCTCCTCTGATACTCCATAGCAGTCCTTGAGCATCTCGGGATATTTCTTGTGCACAAGAGCAGTCAAGTCGCCGCCGTCATCGAGGATGAGGTTAAGCTTCTTTCCATCCTTGAATGCCACCAACTGTTGTTCAAGGCACCAGGTGTACTCTTCTTCAGTCTCACCCTTCCACGCGAATCTGTATTTAATTAGCTGGTCAGGGTCTGTTCACGGAATGTAGAACAAGCCTTCTTGGAACTGGATTACTTACACAGGGGTTCCTGATGCAGCAATGGCAGCGGCAGCGTGATCTTGAGTGGAGAAAATGTTGCAGCTCGACCAAGTGACTTCGGCACCAAGAGCTTTAAGAGTCTCGATCAAGACGGCGGTTTGAATGGCTGGAGGCCGAGTATCAGTCACAAAAGCCCCATCTACAGATCGCAATAAAAATATACGTACTCATATGAAGGCATCCGGCAATTCGGGCACCCGCCAATGGCTGGTCTTGGGCATATTTCGAACGAATGGCCATAAGACCTGGCATCTCAGCCTCAGCGAGCTCAATCTCCCGGCGGCCAAAGGCGGCCAGCGACTACGTAAAAGGTGAATACAATGGATCAATTATCCGTATCAGCAGCAGGGGAAAAACAACGTACGATGTCAGCAACTTTGAACTTGTGGGCTGGGGCACTCATGACGGCTGGGAAACGGAATGAAAATTGATGCGGGGTGGTCTACGCAGCAATCGGCAAGCTGTTAATTTGGAAATCCATCAACATCAAGTGTACCGAAGTTGGGAGCAAACAGACACGGGGAACATACAGACAGGTGCTGTAAGCAATAGATCTAGCAGAAAGACTTATGAACGGGGGAGAGAAAACGTTTGAAGAGCGTACAGCGCAGCGATGAAATGAAGGCTGGAAGCTGTTGCTTTTTTTTTTTTTTTTTTTTTTTTTTCGGGGTGGGGACTTGCTTCACTTTGAGCTGTCCGGCTTTTCCCGCCAAGTGACCGGGCCATCAATATTCCGGCCTAAGCACAGGATTAAGAGGGTAACCGTGCCACGCGCAACTCACTAATCAGGTGATTGTGAGTGGTGAGTGGTGAGTGCGCGTGGCACGGTTACGCAGTCAACTACCTTAGACAGGGCTTTATTCAACAACACACACAACTCTCTGATCGTTATACAAAAACATCTTAATCAATCCTGATCACAT